GGGCAGAAGGGTTACATAGCAATGAGTGAAGATTGTCCCTCACTAATTGAGAATTTAGGATAGGTTGTCCCTTAGAAAATACAATCCATCAGGGAAGTATTTCAGTTACTTTCCTGACTTTGCTGCTCTCCAACAAAAAGAGAGGACGCTAGGTTGTCTGTTAACGGAGTATGCCCAAGCCTCCCACATACATAAAATTAATCTAAACCATACCTAGGGCAAACCTCTCTTTCATAGAGTGGGGTTTTTGTAGTTCCTGAACATATGGTATTCACTTTAATACATTAATGAATATAGTGAGCTATAGTATTGTTGGAGCCAAATCTTAATCTTCTAACCTAAGTGTACTTAAACCCAATCACAACACTGCATGAATGTAATTTACAAATATTGATTTCCAGGGTATTTTTTAAAGAAAAGAATAAGTTTTGATTGATGACACTTTCAGAAGATCCATATACTACTGAAGTTATTTGAATACAAGATTTAAAAATCAAATAAATGCACTAAAAGCACTTGATTGTGCAGATATTCATCTGGCACACTTTTGGGGGGCTATATAGGTAATAACAAAAAATAACTACAGCTCTCGTGCAGTTAATTTTGCAAGGAAATTAAAGTGTACATGCTGAGTGTGCTATTTTCACTGGTTTATAGCTTATTTCTCAACTGATTACATTCACACTTGTGGAGAAAGGGAAGATATGGGACAAGTGCCTGAGGACTACTTGTTGTACCAAGCTGGAACTTTTAAAGTAAAAACATTAGTTATTCTTGTGCATGAAAGCACCCAAACAATTTGTAATAGCTCAAACAAGCACTATTATTTTTAATTAGGTAACTGACAAAAGTGAAAAAAATGTTTCTTCCTCAAACAGCACCCTCCCAAAGCTACAGCAAAATGACACACTTCAGGGATGAGAATATGCATAAGACATTTCAGCCCAAAGAGAAGTTTTCCATAAAGTTTTTTAAGAAACTGAAAACAGCGGCTTGAAATGAAAGTTAGCACTGCAGCTCTACTACAACATAGAGAACCCGACTATGAGAAGAAGGTTAAGGCCAAACAACAACTCAGTTTGAGCAGGTCTGAAATATAGTGATTGAAGTCTGCCTTCTTGCTGCCCCTGAGGAAAGAGCAGGACATACAGTTCCGGGAACTACTACCACAGAGAGACTCTAAGTAGAAAAATGAAAGGAGAAATGGTGTCTCCCCTCTGACCACATATAAAGTGGTGCAATTTACCCTTAGTTCAGGATCATCCAGGAAAGCTTCCAGAACTGATGTAACAGTAGGAGGCCCTTTCAACTGAAATACATACCACCACCACACCACCCCCATTTCTGCTCCTGGTGCTAACCCTAGCGAACACGGTAAGCACATATCTCTGAAGGAAATGAAGATCATCAAACTGAAAGATCCAGAGCAATTTTTAGGGAGCAGCTCTCCACAGGGTTTTTATTCATGGCACAAAAATCACATCTGTGTGTCACAGCGCAGGATGCTGCAGGACATCACTGTTGAAATAGGGGGAAAGGGCAGCAACCTGTACCAACACGACACTAGACAACAACAAAAGGGAGCGGAGTAGTCACCTCCCCACTCTGCTGCACCCCTGAGTCCATCAACCACAACCCCACCTACCCCCGACACTTTCCCACATCTCCTACTTCCCCCCACCACCCTGACAATTTCTCCCACATGGGTCCCATCTCATCTTATCTTCCCTTCCCACCAGCTACCCCCAACTGCGTGTTCCCTCCACTAGGGCCCCCATCTCATCCCCCTATGTACCCCTGACACCCTTCCCCCCACCGGGGCCCCCATCTCATCCCTCTAGGTAGTCCCGACACCCTTCCCCCACCAGGGCCCCAAGCTCGTCTCCCCAGTACCCCACCTGCTCCAATGCCTTCCCCCATCTCCTCCTCCTCCCCCCACCACCCGGACACCATGTCTCCCACCAGGGCCCCCATCTCACCCCCCACCAGGGCCCCCATCTCTTCCCTGCTCCCACCAGCTCCGTGTTCCCCCCACCAGAGCCCCCCATCTCACCCCGACACTCTCCCCTCCAGCAATGCCCTCATCAGCCCCCCAACGATATGCGCCTCACCAGTATCCCCCGGCCGGCTCCTCCCTGGCAGCCCCACCCCCGCCAGGCCCCGCGTACCTGCGCCGAGGAGAGCGGGCCCCGGGGGCGCAGCGGGGGCCTGGCTGACCGGGATGAAGGGCACAGTGAAATTGAACTCGGTAGCCGAGGAGGAGAAGAGCAGGTTCGTGCTGCTAGCGGAACCAGGCCCGGGCGGTTTAGTGGCGGCCATAGCTGCGGCTCTTCCACGTCTCCTCCCCGGGCAGCGGGAGCAGCCGGCCCGGCCCTTTCCGCCCGTAGTGCTGCCCGGCTCCAAGATGGCGGCGCCGGGACCCGCCCTCGCCTCACGCCGCAGCGTCAGGGGGAGAGGGGCGGGGCCGAGCCGGCCGCCGCCATTGCCGCCGCGGGAGGCAGCCTCGGCAGGAAGTTCGGGACCCATCTCCGGGAGCGGGCGAGCGCGTGGCTACGGCGGGGCGCAGGGCCCCATCTCCGGGAGCGGCAGGTCTGGGGAGTCCCGCCTCGCGCCTGCCCCCGCCCGCCTCGTCCGCAAGATGCCGTGTGTGGCCGACTGGCTGAACAGCCCCCTCAGCATCGTGCAGGGCATCTTCGGTGAGAGCCGGGCGGGGCGCCGCGGCTGCCGGGGGAAGATACAGCGGGTCGGGTCAGGGCTGGGCTGGGCTCGGGAGCGCTGAATAGTGGGGCGCCCAGGGCGGCTGTGGGGAGGGGAATCAGTGGGTGAGCGCCGGGTCGGGGAGGTGGGGGAGTTGGGCCCCGAGGGGTGCCATGGTCACCAGGGGCGCGTGGGGGGGCGAGCTGCGGGGATTGGGGCGACTCTGCCGCTTGGCGGGGCTCGGGGCGGTCTGTCGGCGCACGGAAGGAGTCGAGTAACCCAGCAAGGGAGGGCAGGGGCCAAGCCGGCTGCAGCGATGGGTGTTTCTGGTGCAAGACCGAGTCTGGAAGCGGTTACAACACTGAGGTGCAGAATCGTGGTGAGGCCTTAAAATAACCAGAAATAGAGAAGTTGGGCAAGGGGCATGTTGGGGAAGGGGTGTTAAAAGTGCCGGGCTAGAATTGTTGTGTGGGAGAGTTGCTGTCTGTAACTAAAAGGCTGTCAGGCAGCCGAGCCAGCCTGCGTGAGACCGATTTCCAAAACGTCTCCTAACAGCAAAATTATTTTCTCACCAAAGACTTTAAATACTACTTTCAATGAAGGAGTCTCCTTCCTAATGAGAGACCTGACAGGGCAAGACATGCACATTCACTTGTGTCCAAGATGTGAATACACCATTACTTACAACAGTCTGTTCCTTTTGCATTAATAATCCCACTTTGCAACAATTCCTCCTCTGAGAAAAAAGTCTTCAAACTTACTCTGAAAAGATGCATTTGGAATGCAGTTTCTTCATGTTTATGTCTTGAATGAAACCTTTCTAATGTTGAAAAAAGTATCACAAGAGTAAGACAGTTCATGGCTGGTGGTAAGAAGCGATGGCTGAAGTTCCTGAATCTGAGTCTGTTGTAATACTCCCCTAATTCTACCGTGGGCTCATCTCGTGGGGAAGGAGGAGGGATGCCTTTACCATACAGGAAAATAGGGCTATACAATATAAAACTTTGCTGAAGAAGCAACTCAGGAAATCATTGGACACTAGGAGATATTTAGAGTGTGTACCAAGGTGAGGAGTGAGGGCAGCTAGAAGTAAAAAGGAATAATGAAGGCAGCTGAGGTGGCCTAGAAAGGATCTAATTTAATTAACCTTCCTAATGAGGTGCATGTACATCATGTATAATCTGGGACCCTGTCTACACTGGACTCCAATTTAAGAAGTTATGCTTGTAATTATGTCCCAGCTAAGAAGGTATGTGTAACAGTTGAGTGAGCTAGTATGGACAGAGCCAAAGCATGTTAGGTGTTTCTTAAAATGTATTCTTGTCTAGAATTATAAACATTGTTCTAATAAGCTCTAGCACCAGCCAATCAGTGTTAGAAACTGCATTTTGAAAAATGATACTTAAGCTCTGTTTGATGCCCAGCACTGCAAAGACCTTAAAATGAGGCAAAATTCCTATGAGGTTATATCCCCCTGTTGGTATCCGGTATATAGTTCTCAACTACCAGTACCACTACTTAAGGACGTACCACTGAAGCTCTTGATTTTAACCAAAACATAATTCCTGATTTCTTAATGACTGGAATAGGAGCTTGTGCAGAAATAAACACTTCCCAAAAGTATGATCATGCATGCACAGTAAGTAGAAAGGGTAACAGATAATCCCCCATCTCTTCCCAATGGTCTCTAGTGTATTTGAAATCCATCTGTGCTTTTCCCCACCTACACAGTGGCTGTATTTTCCTTATCTCTCTGTTAAGGTTGTAACAGAAAGATGAGAGGAGACAAATGGCATCAAGGTTGTTATAATATAATATACATTTGTGTAGGGTTAAAGTCTCATTAAAAATCAGTTCACATCAGCAGATTCAAAATGAGTGTCAGATTGCACATAGTGCTGTCAGAGTGCTGAATAAAAGTCCAGTGTACTGTACTATTGCTATTATTAATGCAGTTTGTTTTCTAGCTCAAAATGGTCCAAGTCCTGACTGGGAGAAGAAAGTAACTGAATACTTTACAGAGAAGCTAAAAGAAAATAATGCAACTAACTGGGTAAAATTAATTTAATTATTTGGAGTTTTTTTCCATCTTTACAACTCCTGCCGCCTTGTTCCTCTATTATAGTGACTTACTGCTTTTTGGCAAGTGTGTCCTTTAGAAATGCATTCGTGGAACTTGCTCATACTTATCTGAAAGGGATACTGTTGAGATTCTAGGCCAAAAAATTGGTTTATATTAAAGTTATTTAAATGTGAAAAACTGGTACACAAAGCAAAATATGTAAGGGTCTGATCCCAAGTGTGTTGAAGTCAATGGAAGTGATTTCAGTGCACTTTGAATCAGGACCTAAACTGCTGAATGCCACCTAAATGTGCTCCATTAGGTGGCAGTAGCTGACAAATGCTATCCTCTGTTGTATTTGTATAGATATTAAAATCTGCCCTGACTACTTGTAAATTGGAGATACATTTTTGTACTCCAAATGTTTGTGGTTTCCTGCAACATAGCATCTGATCATGATCTGTTACTGCAATACTTGACACTTGAACTGATTGGAGAACCAGCTGTTATGACCACTGCCTTTCAGTTTCGTTAGGTAAAAAAATAATCCACGCCTCCCACTAACTGCAGCCTCTTGTGCCATCCAAATTCCTACGCTGTATTTGGAAATCTGATTACTACATTCTCCTCATCTGCAAATGTAAGGTGCAATACAACTTGATTCCTCAGAGTATGGTTCTACTCTGAAAGGTGACTAAAATCAATACTACTTCTATATTTATTGGCCCTCAGGAACTTTCAGGTCAAATCTGCCCACTTGAATGATAGAAAAGATACTTTTCCCAGCCTGGAATCTGAAAATAGTTACTTTACTGTCTTATGCATCAAAAGATTTTGCAATTCGAAGTTAGTGAACAATTTTCTTGATAATACACAAGAAGGAATAGAATTCTTTCTCTCTCTCTCTCTATGTTGGTCCAGTAGAGTGAATACAGTAAAAGGATTAAAACTAGTAAAACCTTATTTGCTTATTTTAAAGCAAGCAGGTCTGATTCAAAATAAACACCAGGCTTGATGTTTAGTACCATGTTTTACATGGTAACTTTTCTGATTATAACCATATTTTAATATGGTTACTTTTCCCCAATCTGGCAATCCAGCCAAGACCTGATTTTTTTCAAAATCAAATAGACTTCCCGTATAGCTTGTGCTGCTGTCATTCAAGTCATGTGGAATTTGGTTTGCCTGGACAACCCATATTCTTCTCTTTCCCATTGTCATGTCCTCCCATATGGAAAAGCCTCCCTTACCTTAAAGGAACCCTGTGTTTTGGCTGCCTTTTCTTGGCCATTTGGAATTGTGGATGTTTTGATAATCAGACATGTTGTATGCAGTATCTTACTTGTTTTTGCAGTGACATGGCTGTATTCCCTTCATGTTTCCCATTACTCACAGTTGTGCTTTTCCCCTATGAAAATGAATAAAAATAAAGATTTTTTGTAAAAAACCCTCTGCGTGATAGGTGCATCCCGCAGTATGTGAAACTTTATACTTGTGTTGCTTTAAAAAAAAAGGGGGGGGGGGCGGCAGCCAGACCTGGTGAGATTGGAAAAAAGTCACTGCCTCATGGCATGGGGTGGCCCTGGAGTGTTTCTACTTCAGCTTACCTCTTTTCAGGGCTCCTCAGTAATTTTACTAAGGCTTTCTTGCGGCCAATAACTCTTACCAGGCTAGCTTCTTATCATAAACAAGTCCAAAATCAAGTCCTCAAAGTCCAAAAGTTGTGTCAGTATATTGAAAGTTCATATATTAAAGTTTATGTATTCATCCGTTCCCATACTTCATCAATCCACTCCCAGGTCTTTCTACCTGAAGTCTTCCCTGCTTTGGCAGGCCACTCCCAGCCCTACCTAGCTGGAGTCTTTTCTCCCTTGGTGTCTCAGGGTCTCCTGCAGAATTCTTCTGCTCTCTGCATCCCTCAGCCTCTGCTCTCCTCCTGGTCTCTTGCTACTGAGGCTGCTTTCTTGTCTATCCCACAGCCTGGTTGGGTCACATGAGCTTAATTTTCCCAACCTAGGGAGGAGAGTTAGCTGTGTCACAGGTGGGGGAAGAGACCCATCTCCTTCTAAAGGGCCAGCCTCCCGGTGACAGTGACTTTTTACTATTTTAATTTTCTTATTAAATAAAATTCATAAAATCTGATGCTTTAGAGGAGCTTCTACAAAGGATAGGTGATTGAAGATAGTGCAGGGATGGAATTAGTGTTATTCCTGAGGGCATTCTGTGCCAAAAAATTAAAAATACTGCACACCGTATTTTAAAATTCTGCAAAATTTTGGAAATTTTATTTGTCAAATAAATGTGGCGGCTCCAGCATGGCATTGGGGAGCACAGGCCACTGGCTGCACAGGGGTGGGAGATCACAGCAGCTTCCTCCTACCCCCCCTCTCCCCCTGGGACACGGAGGCTGCACCCAACCCTGACACAGCACAAGGACCAGGCCTGCCCCAGAAACACCCCAGGGCCCTGCCCCTCCCTGCCAGGTGCACCAGGTCTGAGAAGGCAGGATCCAAGTGTGGAGGGGCTTAGTGTGGAGGGATCCAGGTGTGGAGGGGATATGGATGCACAGAGGCTTGTTGGGGGGTTCTGGGTACAATGGTAATGGGACTGCATGTGGGTCCAGGTGAAGGTGGGTGGGGGTCTGTGTGTGGGTGGGGATAGAGCTTGGCAGGGGGGGGTCTGGGTGTGGGAGGCTCAGTTGGAGGTCTAGATGCTGGGGGAGTGGGGCTCATTGGGGGTGTTCTGAGTGCAGAGGGGTAAGGCTCAGTGGGAGGGACTGGGTATGACGGGGTCTGGATGCCCAGGGGTTGGGCGGATGGGGGAGCAGCTCCCTGTACAGTGATCCCTCCCCCTGCAGCAGAGGAGCGACAGGCGCAGGAAGCAGGGTAGGGAGAGTTTGCAGAGATTCCTGCAATTGGGGGGAGAAATCTTGGGGTGGATCTGACCCGGCCCCGGATGTCTTGCAGGGGAAGGGGAAGTCCTGTCCTCTCCAGCCTAGCCACGACTAGCAGCTGAGCCCAGCGCAGGGTAGGGGCCACTAGCTGGGTCTTCCCAGTCTCGCCCTCTGCCCCACAGTGATTTACTTCTCTGTCTGCTTCCCTGAGCACCAAAACATACTGCTGGTGAGGGTCCCATCACTGCTCTTGTGGCTTCCCTTTGCTTCCCCATTAGAAAGTCATTTTTCTGCAGGGAAGCAAAGAAATCTGCAAGGGACATAAATTCTGCTCATGCGCAGTGGTGCAGAATTCCCCCAGGAGTAATAGTGTCAAGTGTGTCAAAAAGGGACATCAGTTGAAAGTGAAATCTGGTTCAAGAAACACTATCAACTTGAATTTTTTTATTTTAATTCAACAATTTAAAAAAATGTTTTCTGATAAAATGCCCTTTAAACAGCATGTCTCTAAAATTCTGTAAAGTATTTCTACAGTGTTTTTCCTACGCCCCTGTTAAAGGACCAAGAGCAGCACTACTAAAAATAGGCCCTCCTCCACTCCTTCCTTCCTTCCTTGTTCAGCTTCACTTTCAACTTTGCTCTTTCCCAGGCTTTGATGTAACAGCAGCAGGGTATAAGTGTAACTGACCCTCACCAAATCTGTGTAACTAATTATACACAAAGTTGTCAAATGGCCAACCTAAACAAACTGGAACAACGTACAGAAATATGTTTTCTCTAATCTTTGAATTAAATAATCTCAACTGTTACCTGTAACAACAGTAGGTACAAAAATTTCAGATGGAAATGTGATTTACACAATTGAGTTAGGACAGATGAGCAAAAAATTACGTCTCATAACTACCTGGTGAGTAGATATGGGTGCTTAATCTTGCTCACACTAATGAAGTGATTTAGGTGAATAATAAGGGATGCTGGATAATCTGAGGATAATAACTAAAATATGGGATGGTATCTCTACACTATCTGATTTCCTTCATGGTGCTTATGAGTATTTTATATATTGTATTTAAAATAAGGTCTAATATTAATTTAGTGTATGTTTGTACTTTTTAAAGGTACCATCATTGAATGATGTCCCCCTACATTACCTGAAGCCCAACAGTTTAGTGAAATTCCGCTGCATGGTTCAAGATATGTTTGATCCTGAATTTTACATGGGAGTCTACGAAACAATTGACCCAAATACTAAAACACGTGTAAGTAAAATACTGATGAACTGTTAGGGTAAATGTTTGGGGTGAACTAACTTTTCTTCATTCATGTCTTTACCCTTCACTGAACTGAACCTCTTGAGTATTCAAAGGCTGCTCAACATTAGTTCAGTTTCAACAGACTCAAGTGGCAGTAGGGACATAACGTTTTACTATATTTTTAGTTCTGATCTGCCACAAGTAGAGAAAATTGTGGAAATTATAACAAGTGTTTTGTGGGATCTGTGGGAATTGAAATGAATCCCTTCTCTGTTTAAATTCTGCAGACAGTAAAGTTTGCATAGTTATGTTATTGGACGGACTTTAGCCTAATGATTTAGTTTCTATTATCAATAGTAATTCAAGATTTTGAAAGAGAGAATTATCATATTGCTTTTTTTGGCAGGTTTTGCATTTTGGTAAATTCAGAGATGTAGCAGAATGTGGGGTAAGTTGTGCACATGCTGTACAATGTAAGAACTAGCACTTAATTTAGTATATTAAATTTGAGTTTTTCATTTGCTCTTCTCCTCCTCCTCCTCCTCCTCCATATGATGACCTCTAAGAAAATATGCAATGAGCCTTAAAATTAATTAAAATAAATCAGTTGATTTCCTTTTCCTTGCCAACAAGGTATCGTCTCTGCCACTTTCAGTGTATTATTTTTAGAGAACAATGTGGACAAGACTTGTACCTACCTCTTTGTCCTTCCCTTCTCTGCTTCCATTTTTCTGTCTTTAAAATTGTGGAAACCAGGAATGTTATAAAGATTGCTTGTCTGGAAAATGCAGTTAATATGAAAAGTATTGTATAAGTGCAGTATTAATAATTTTTTCAACCCTTCAGCTCAATTTCTGGAAATATACAGCTCTTGGGATTCAAAGTGAATTCCAGGTTTGGGGAGCATTCCTTGTTGCTCATAGGTCTTGAGCCATCTCCATGCCACTTAAAATTAGTTTTGTGTACAGATGTTAGTTGTGGCCAAGAATTAAATTTTGGCCAGTAATCCTGTCAAGAAGTTAGGGCACTGGCAAAACATGTTCCCTGAATGAATATACTCTTAGAACACTGATAGAGAAGTCAGTTTAGTTTTTTTTAAATAGAACAACTTTATTAGTACTAGAATTGCAATCTCTGTTACAAAGCATTGAAAAAAATTTGAGACTTCCATTCTACTTTACAAAATGTATCTGAATTTGCAGCTATAAGCAGCTTCTTCATACTTAAGCCACTTTTACTGTTGAGGCACACAAGTGTGGTAGAGATACTCCTGGGGGAATTCTGCGACACTGCGCATGAGCAGAATTTATGTCCCCTGCAGATTTCTTTGCTTCCCTACAGAAAAATGACTTTCTGATGGGGAAGCAAAGGGAAGCCACAAGAGCAGTCATGCGACCCTCCCCAGCAGTATGTTTCAGGTGCTCAGGGAAGCAGACAGAGAGGTAAATCACTGTGGGGCAGAGGGGGAGACTGGGAAAACTCACCTTGTGGCTCCTTCCCTGCGCTGGGCTCAGCTGCTAATTGTGACTAGGCTGGGGAGGACAAGACTTCTTCTTCCCCTGCATGGTATCCGGGGCTGGGTCAGACCCTCCACCAGTTGCAGGAATCTCTGCAATCTCCCCCCCGCCCTGCTTCCTGCACCCATCGCTCCTCCACTGCAGGGGGAAGGATCTCTGTACAGGGAGCTGCTCCCCCATTCGCCCAACCCCTGTGCTTCCAGACCCCGTCATACCCACTCCCTCCCTCTGAGCCTCATTCCGCCGCACTCAGAACCCTCCTGACGAGCCCCACTCCCCCAGCAGCTAGACCTCCCACTGAGCCTTCCAACCCCCCCGCTGAACTCTATCCCCACCCAGACGCAAACCCCCACCCCCGCTGAACTCCAACCACCTTCACCTGGATACCCTTGCGGAGTCCCATTACCATTGCACCCAGAATCTCCCAACAAGCCTCTGTACGTCCAGATCCCCTCTGCACCCGGATCTCCCACTGAGCTGCCTGCACACAGATTGCCCCACACAGAATTCTCTCAACCCACACCTGGATCCCTCCACACTTGGATCCTGCCATGCTGAGCCTGCCTGATGCACCTGGCATGGAGGGACAGGACCCTGGCGTGTTTCTGGGGCAGGCCCTGTCCTTGTGCTGTGTCAGGGTTGGGTGGAGCCTCACTGCTGAGGTCCGGGGGGGGGGGGGGGAAGGCTTCAGTGATCTCCCACCTCTGTGCTCCCCAATGCCATGTTGGAGCCTCCACATTTATTTGACAAAATTTGGAGAATTTTGAAGAATTTTTAATTTTTTGGCGCAGAATGCCCTCAGGAGTATAGAGAAACCAACTAATAATCACTCTTGCCATAGGTTCTTGAATAAGAATGATTTTTAAAAATGTGAATTTTTCGACATTGTTCATGCAATTGCATTGAGATTGCATTTGAGACCAAAGAATAAACCATTAAATTGTTGACCCATAGTAAGGGAATCCTTTAAAGAATGATTATTACTTCTGCCCACAGGGGTTAAAGTGGCTGAAAGCACCAAAAAATTTCCATTCATTTATTGAAAGAATGGAATAAATCCATATCCCACTAAACGCCATGCAAAAATTGTAGAAGAATACCATTTTCTTATGGCACCAAAAATATGGTCTGGAAGATCAAACAAAATGTGGAAAACTTGTATGGAGTGCAGTTTAAAATTACCACTGGATTGTGTTTAGGTTTTCATAGTCTTAATTTTTGTGATTTAGATAGTAAATTGTTTCATTAGGAAGCTACTCCTTGTAACTCATTATGGCTAAGTACATAATTCTACTGACAAAGTAAGGTAATGACTTAAAAACAAACATGTTCAATATTAAAAACGTGAACCTCATGATTTATTATTGATATCCTAGCCTCAGCAGGAAATTGATTTAAACTCATCACAAATGGTCACTTCGGAGAGACAGACCTTCTACTGTGTGCCAGTGCCTGGAGAGTCAGCGTGGGTGAAAGAAATATCCTTTGTTCAAGCTTGAAATATGTTAATTATGAAAAATGTATTTAAAGTACCTTGTACTGTGAGGGGATGAGGAGGGTAATTCCTTAACTTAGATATGCCTCATCAAAGGACAGCACCATAGTACAGTTTGCACACCTATTGTAATAGTGTCTTATTCAACAAGATAGCCAGGCTAATAATATTTGAATAATGCTACTTGTGCTGGTTGATTTTTTTTCAAATGAGTATGATGATGTCCTTAATGCTTAATCTTACGCATATATTAGTGCAAGTCAGGCTCGAGTTAGCCCTTCAACATCCTACACTCCAAGTCGCCACAAGCGGAGTTATGAAGAAGATGAAGATATGGAGCTGCATCCATCTAAACAGAAAGAGCAGCATATGGGTAACATTTGATATATTGATGATTGGTCATTTCATTACCATTATGAACTATTTATGTATCAGGGTGAGTCAGTAGTGTTATCCCAGTCTTGATCACTATGCTGGTTGAACTGTGAATGGAAACAAATGGGAAAACCAGCAGTTTAACTTGTAAATTAGTCCAGGATAAATGTTGCATGTATAACATATGATTTGTTTTCTACTGCTTTACAAAATGCTAGTATTTTTTGGTTGCTGCAGTAGTGCTGTAGCTGCTGTGTGAATGGCTCCAGGCACTGAATTTAATTTCCAGCTCTGTCACAAACTTCCTGTGTGACCTTCAGAAAGTCACCTCATCTCAGTATCTCTATTCCCTATCCATAGAAAGGGGATAAAACAGACAATGGAATTGTCAGTTTAAATTGCAAACTCTTTGGGGGTAGGGATTGTCTCTTATTACATGTAGCACTCAGCAAAATGGGGCCTAAATATCAGTTGGGTCTGCTTTACTACGAACAATAATTTCGGTCTCAAGAACTATCCCACCTTGCCTCTCTATCTCCAGTGACAGCCCCCCGTGCGCCCCCTCCCCCCCCCCCCCCACAGCTTTTTAAAGGAATATAATTGACTTGCAGTACCTGGAACTGTCTTTTGCCCTCCGAGGTTGGAAGGGAAAATGAGGAATACCAGGCATTTGTAGTCCTCTGAAAAAAGACCTAAAATCCTTTGATTTTTCTGAAAGGATGGTATTTCCAAAACTGGCAAATGTTAGCATGAGGCACGTCAGGTGTGTGTGCACATCTTGCGCATTCACAAACTGATGAGAAAGTTGCCTGCCCTAGTTAATGTATTGTATTGAGCAGGAGGGGGTTAGTTTAAAAATAAGTCCTTCATGGGCTTTATAAAAGTACTGCAGAAGCTGTTAATTAAAGCTTTGTTTGGTGTTGTATTTCAGTCAGTTGAACTGTCAGATTTTAAGGTTTTAAATATTTTTCTAATAGTTTACAGTTTAAAATACACCTTTTTCTTGTATCTGTATTAGATTTCAAAGTAAATACTCATATTGTTTTACCTTCATATGTAGCCTAAAGCAGCAATTCTCAAACTTCATTGCACCATGACCCGCTCTGACAACAAAAATTACTACATGACCCCAGGAGGGGGGACCAAAGTCCAAGCCCCCCATGCCCCGGGCAGGGGGAAGGGAGGTACAAAGCTGCCCCAGGGCTTCTACCTTGGGCAGGGGACATGTAACCTTAGCCCTCTTGCCCAGGGCTGAAGCCCTTGGGCTTCGGCTTGGGCCCCGGGCAGTGGGACTCAGGCTTTAGCTTGGGCTCCAGCAAGTCTAACACCAGCCTTGGTGACCCCATTAAAATGGGATCGCGACCCACTTTGGGGTCCCAATCCACAATTTGAGAACTCCTGGCCTAAAGTAAGCAGTTACAGAATGGCATTTTATCTTTGCATTAGAAAATCAAATCTAAAGAGATTCTTAAGAGATAAAGTGTATTATTTCTGTTTAACTTGTTTTTAAACACAAGATGCAGAATTTCCACAGTTCTACACAAATGATAGGTTGACTTGCAGATGACCGTGGGATGCTTAAAGATAAATTGAGTCAAGACAAACCTCCTTGGCTATATTTAGATCTCCAAGATCAACAGATTTTCATGCCTAAAATGCTACCTATTCCTCATGGTGTTAATTTTTGGTGATAGACATATAAATATTTTATTTCTGTGAGGGACAATAAAGTAATAGTTGGTAGAAACTACTGCTTTGTTGTTCTTCCAGGATCCCTTTTTAATTCAGCATGCTTCTGTATTGCTTTCTGAAGGAAGGAAAATTGTTTGGATTTGCTGTTATGCTTAAGTAAACTGTAGAAGGCTGTCATTCCTTTATGTTGCAGGGAATATAGGTGATATCCATGGATGTGGAGAGCCAAAGCGTTTAGAAACTGAAGCTTCTGCAGGACATCAGCTAATCTCCCCAAACTGCTCCCCTCCACTTGATCTAAACTTTCCACTGCCGGGAGAGAAGGGTCCTGCATGTCTCGTAAAGGTAACCAGACTATGGAGATGATGACCAAAATATGATTGCATCACTGAGGAGATAGATTAGGGGTGGGAGAGAGAATCCTGAACCCGGAGAAGTTACAGTAAAACCTATATTATCTTGAATGTGTCCTCAAATAACAGCTGTCCTGTTTTCCTCTTCACTGCCCATGGGGGTTATTAGAATTGCTAACATCAGTGCTAGTAGGTGTTAAAGCATATATATTCATAGCTGTACTTGGCAAAAAGGGTTTTGTCAGTTCAAGACACCCAAGTGTAAGGATGATGTTGACTCATGGACTCTTGAGTAAGTTGAAGATGTGCTCTTCTAGCGGAAAAAGGTGTGATGAAGCAAGAGGGAAACAATGCAATGTTTGTTTTCACTTCATATTTGAAATAGTTTCCTGTTGATTAATACCTAATGCTGACTAGGAAACTGAAAGCAAGGAAAACTCATCTATTCTGTTTCTATATTTAATATCCCATTCTTCAGCAATCTTATTCTACATTTAGAATTTCATCCTTTAATGAACAAGTGTAGAATATGGTTGTTTACCACTTTGGCAGAAGAAGGCAGATAATGTCAATCCTACAAAAGTAGCAAGTAATTTTTCCAATCTCAGCTTCTTAAAAACTTATTTGGACAGCCTCCCAGTACAGAATCTCTTTAATCTACAGTTGTCTACTGAGATTTCTGCTCTTGTCTGATGAATGACAATCCATGCTGTCCTTGTTCTTGCAGTACATCATTCTGTTCTGTCTGCCTCCTTGTTTTATCATGCTGTCTCTGTGGCAGGTCTATGAGAGATGGGATAATTTCAAAGTCAACGATACTCTTGAGGTGTATGGCATTTTGTCTGTGGATCCTGTGCTCAGCTTAGTGAACAATGAAGACAGGTAAGGCTTAGGCTCTGATTCTGATCTGCAGGGATTTATGAAGTTAAAAAGCAAAATGTGTTTGAATGGTTGTGCCCTAAAAATTAAGAAAGTGTCTAACCATTTGTCTGAGCATTATTCTAAAAATGCTTTTTGCCTAAATCAAAGGTAATGCTTGTGAAAGTTACTGGATTGACAGCCCTGGCAGTTGAAGTCCTTTGTCCACAGAACAGGTACCGCATGAGCAATGGCTGTACATATTTCCCAGACTGCCCCAGTATCAAACAGAGCTATCGAGTGTTAGTGGTGGAACAAATTTATAAAGAGGACAGGACCAAGAGATTTGAAGAAACTTCAGAATGATGTGTGGGAGTTAATGACACATTACAATTAGCTTCTATAACAAAGGACAGCAAATGTACCTATTTTTTTTTCAAGTGCTGGATAATTCTTGGGATTAGATTAGAGAAATTTACTTCAGGACCAGGTAAATTGGTTGGAAAAAATTAAAAATAGTTATAGACTATCTATAAAAGTATAGCAAAAGAGAGATGGTCCTGTAGACAGGCAGTGAAAATGATTGGTGGCATGGAAAGTCTTCCATATGAAATAATTAGGACTGTTTACTTTACAGAGGAAATAAATAGGGGCGTGATAGATGTATACAAAATACTGAATGGTGTAAAGAAGTAGTATCAGATGTTCTTATTTACCTTCTCCGAATACAAGAACAAGGGAACCTCCAATTAAATTAAAACAACAGGTTCAAAACTGATAAAGGAAAATACTTTCTTTTAATGTAATGCACCATTAATCTGTACATATTACTGCCAGATTAGGTAGGTAGAGAGACCAAGAGGTTAGTAAAATCTAAAAAATTGATTAGACATCTAAAAATAGAAGGCATATAAAGCCTGGTATCATGGTGCAAGCCAACCACTAACTGATGAGATTTAGGAGGAAATTTCCCTAAAGGACATGTTATTTTATGATTGTCCACTTGGGTCCCTAGTGCCTTTCTCTGAATTATACTGTATTAGCCAATTTTGGAGATAAAATATCTTATTCCTGGGGGAATTCTGTGCCAAAAAAATTAAAATCCTGTGCACAATGTTATAAAATTCTGCAAAATTTTACATATACAACGCTACCTCGATATAACGTGGTAAAGCAGTGCTCGGGGGGGGGCGGGGCTGCACACTCCGGTGGATCAAAGCAAGTTCAATATAATGTGGTTTTACCTATAATGCGGTAAGATTTTTTCGCTCCCAAGGACAGCGTTATCTCAAGGTAGAGGTGTATTATTTGTCAAAATAACACAATATAATTATGTCCCTTTCAACTATTTTGATAATTTCAAAATACCTGTCAGCAAGTATGTCTGTAACAATACAGACAACACACAAGATTCAGGAAATGTTTTTTGACAAATAGATTCCGTACTAAGCCTATTAATACAGAAATTTGAGTAATAATTTAAACGACAATACTGAAACAAATTTCTGCACCCCTCAGAAGCAGCCCAAAAGCTTGGGGAAGTCTGGGGTAACGGAGGAGCTGAGGGAGAAGGAAGGAGCCTGGGAGTGAACCCTTGCGGGTTGTTGGATGTGGATGGAAGAGGCATGGAACAGTTTTTTTGAGGGAGAGGGAAAGGTGGGGAGGGATTGTTAGGGATTTGGGGAGCCTCCCCCATGTCACCTTTAGATGATCCTTAGCCCCTCCCATTCATTCAAGCACATGTGCCCCAATGAGTCCCTTCACTCCCACTCCCCATTCAGCCAGGCATATCTGCCCATGTCCCCATGTGGCCTGTACCCCCACTCCCCTGTTACCATGTGACCCTGCATCTCCCCTCCCCCTGTATCCTGCATCCCCCATTCTCCATTCAGCCAGGCATAGCTGTCCCTATCCGCATTTGTCCTGCACCCCCACTCAGCCACCCCTTCTCCCTCCACTCCCATTCAACCCCTGGTTCAGTGTTGTCATGCCACTAGTTCCTGTGCCTCTGCCCCAGTCTGTACCCCCCATTAGCCCTTCTGAACCCCAGTCTGTGACACACACACACCCCAGCAGTCCCATGTACCCCGCTCTGTCCATTCCCCCCATATCCCATGCTTCCTCACCTGGCCACAAAGCAGGGTGCTGTGAGGAAGGCATCCTCTTTTCCCCTCCCTCTCTGCGGCTGCTGCTCTGGCCTGTGAGCCAGCTGCCCTCTCTTCTGGTGCCACGTAAGCCCCTGGTGTAATTGCAGCTTCTCTTCGTCTCCCCATCAGAATCAATTATTTGGCGGGGGGGGGGGTGAAATCTCTGGGGAACATTAATTCTGTGCTTATGCAGTGCACAGAATTCCCCCAGGATTAGATATTGGAGTGCATGGATCACAGGCTTCATCCAATATGTCAGTTCCTGTAGTATTGATGCAGGTGTTCGGAATCTTGATCCTTTGAAAATTTTCTTTTTGGTATGTTACAGCCTTGATATTTGAATCCTTGTGTAGAGCCAGACAAGTTTGTAAAGGTAACCCAGCAAAGCCAGCTGTTTTTGCTTATAATCTGCCCAACAGTAGGCTAAGGCCAGAGTGGTGGCTCAATATGCCTAATTAAATGTATTTGATTGTTGACAGTCATATTACGTATAGAGAAAATGGTGGAATTCAGCAAGGATTTTGAACTTTAAAGTTGTTGCATGAAGTAGAAAGAGAAAGGGATGGTTACAGTCCTTTTAATGAAGAACAGAGATTGCCCAAAAGGAGGAAGAGAGGCTTAGAAGATTAGTAGGACCCTACCAAATTCACAGCTCTGAAAAACATGTCGAGGACAGTGAAATCAGCCCACTCCCGGGAAATCTAGCTATTGGAGTGGTTGGGGGAGAGTCAGGGCTGGGGCTGCCTCAGCCAGGGGTTCCTACTGTTCACTGGGCTCCAGCTGCTAGTCTGCTGGACTGGGGAGGGACTTGACTTCCTCTTCCCCTACACAGCCGCTCTCAGGGGAAGGGAAGGGGGCGCCAAGGAGAGATCAGACTCACCTCCAGGTACCTCCCCAGGCTGCAGGAAGGTCCGCAGCTGTGCTGCCTACAGAGTCCAGCTCTGAAGGCAGTGCAGAAGTGAGGGTGGCAATCCTGCAACAACCCCCCACACACACGCGCGCGCACACACACACCAGCTTTGTGACCCCCTACAACTCCTCTTTTGTGTCGGGATCCCTACAGTTGCAAGACCATCTGAAAATGTGAAATTGACCAATTTTAAAATCCTCTGGCCAAGAAATTGATCAAAATAGACTGTGAATTTGGTAGGGTCCTAAAGATTAATAATAAGTTACAGAGCCTTTCACTTCTGTCTTTGGTGCAAATCCAATCCAAGTCAGTAATGACTGAAGTTTGTTGCCATCTGATGTCTGTCTCTTTGTTCCAATGTCCACATCAAAATAAAAAACTAAAATTAAAAACCTGGGGCTACTTTTGGAAGGCCTCAGAGACTGAGAATTGAATAGTCATGAGGTCTGACCTGTTTTCTCATCTCAAAGGGTGGTTTCTCCAAGTTAGGGTTGAGGCACACTAATGGGAATTTTTGACTGCATCTGCACTACATGTTCTGTGGCTATATAGAAAAGTTAAATGTCCCAGACTTATAATCTGGCAACCTTCTGGAACTCTGTATCTACACAGGATAGACTTTACTTTACAAAGTTGCTTTATTTTCTCAAATGTTACAATGTCTAATTGAATACCTGCTGAACAGAAACCTGTTACCACAAAGAATACTTAACATCTCTCATTTAAATGGTGGAATGATTTAGGGATTTGCTTCCTTTACAAAACTAAAGCCTCTATACTCCAAGTATTTTCAGAAATATAGACTACAGCCTATATTGTATAAATCCAGTTTAGTAGTTTTATATTGTCAGTGTATAGGATTTTCATGTATTTTGTATTTATAGTCTTTTTATAAATATCTAAAATCTTTCAATTAAGCTTTTATAATTAAAATTGATAAATTATATTAGTTTAAATGTAGTCTTAAGTAAACTGAAGCCGGGAATGGATGCCGCTTGTGTTTGTGTGTAACATTATTGGAATAGATTCCAGATTCATTTTGACAACAGCAGGGGAATTTGCATAGAATGTCTTTAAGCTCAGTTTAATTGACATTTACTAGGGAGAACTCATCACCACTTGATCCTATGGAATGCATGGACACAGTAGAAGAACAAAGAGTACACAGTCCTCCTGCCTCATTAGTCCCCAGAATCCATGTGATTTTGGCACAGAAATTACAGCACATTAATCCATTATTGCCTGCCTGCCTTAATGAAGAGGAGAGTAAAAGCTGTAAGTATCTGAACTGCTGAATGGAACCTTACATTATCACAGATTAGTTCACTCTGGACTGCATTGTACTACTCCTTAGTACAAACAAGTAATTGTTTGTTGGCAGGAAAATGCAGCAATGGTAGTCTATTTAAAGTGGACTCAGAAGGGATCGGGCAGCTGCATTACTTTATACTGAGTTGCCTCAGACATGGTGATAAGTGTTTGTTTTAGGAAGAGTTACTTCTGAAGTAGTCATGATTAGAGACTTCATTCTGTAAGTCTGAAAACCCAATCTACTATTGTACAAATTGCAAGATTTATTCATTTTCAAATGAGGAATCACTTTATTTTTGAAAATTTTACTTTTATTAAAGCTTAGCTAAGCAAGTAAATCTGAAGTATGTAGACACAGGATTACATTGTGGATATAAAATATATAATGAATGTCTCTACTATCAAGGAGCTTAAAGGGAGATAAGTTTAAAAAAAAATTATGCAACTAGTTGCCCATTTGATTGTTTTTAAACATTCACCACAAACTGTGGTACATGCTTCTGTTTTTCTCTTGTTGGTATTTTTCCTCTTCATCTATGTGTGTTTCTTGGACTCTATCTATGAACTTCCACAGCTCCTAAAATGACGGTCATGTGGAGTCCTGTATAGATATTATGTTTGACTCACCTTAAACCTTTAGGAAGTTGTAGAAGACAGTTGGTTTTGGAACCAAAGGTATAATACAGTTTTCAATTAAAAATCTGAAAGGGTTTCCAAGGAAATGTTGAGCAGATCATACTATTCCCAAGTCAGCAGTTTTTCAACAAATGGATGAGTGGGTTTTTAATTCCTACTCATATTGCTGTTTTAATTTTAAAACATCCTACTTTTGTTATGCAGCTGTTATGTTGCATCCATCTGAGATGGAGGGCAGTTTCTTAAATATCATTAATAATAAAACTCTTGCTTATTTCCCAATAATATTTGAGAGTAAACTGGCATTTCTAACCAGAGCTAATTTTTTTAGGCCTTGTTTTATGAACTATATTTTCTTCTACATAGACCACTTTTCTATTTTATCATTAAAAATCTTGACATTCCATGAAATTAACATGCAAAATAAGTTACTTAAATATTTATATAAAGGTGGCGATTAACATTATTGAACATCATTGAACATTGAATGTTATATCAGAAAAACAGTTTGGGGGTTAGAGCAAAGAAGAGTGGGGAGCTAAACTGGATCATCCTTTGACTTACCACATTTCAATTTTTGTTTGACAGAATATAGCTCCTGTTCTTATTTTCATTATCTTCTCCCCCAGGAGTCTGTGGCAGGGATTGGAGGAGGGTTTTCTTTATGATCATATTGAAATAATTGCACTGAATTTGTGAACTGGGCTGGAAAAAAAACGCATAATTCTGAAAGACACACTTACCAAAATGAGTACATGAATGTAGCAGCAGCATAGATCTATGAATCAGCAGTTACTCACTCAGAAAACGGATTCAGACAGTATGATCTGCTCAGTATCGTCTTGGAAACCCTTTCAGATTTTTAATTGAAAGGTGTATTGTACATTTGGCTTCAAAACCTGCAGCCTTCCACAGCTTTCCAAGTGTTTTAAGATGTGTCATGTATGTCTATATAGAACTCCACTTGATAGTAATTTCAAGAGCTGTGGAAACTCACAGATAGCAGAGCCCAAGGAATAAACAGAATACATACAGATTGGAGCCCAAAAAACAAACAGAACACACACACACACACACACACAGTAGAGCCTATAGATCTATGAATCTACGCTGCTGCTACATTCACTTACTAATTTTGGTAAGTGTCTTGAGATTTGTCTATTATTTTTTCCAGCCCAGTTCACATGTGGGAAAGCTGCGGAAATAACTTGCCGTCTGCCAAAAGTGGCAAGCGTTATTTTGTTTTATGAGTCACTCTAATGGAATTAAAAAAAAAAAAAAAGTACTTGGATGCTAATAAACTCCTGGTTTAAAAACCAAAAAATGAGAGTTGGGGAGTCAACTGGTCCAGGAGCCTCGCAACCTTGAGGGTTCTCAGGGTCTAGGCTCTGTGGCAGGGAGCCTGGCAGCCCAGGCTTCAGCAGGCTTCTCAGGGTCTAGGCTCCTAGCTCTGCAGCAGAGAACCTGGAAGCCCTAAGAGCACCCAGCTGGGTCTGGGGAACCAGCTGCCCGGAGTTAGAGAGCCCAGGAACCAGCGTGCCTGGGATTCTGGAAGCCCTGGAGTCCCCTATCCTGGGTCACTCAGCATGGCAAGGCAGGCAGCATAACTGCCTTGGAGCCGCAGACCCTGGAAGTCCTGGGTTTCTGACTCTAAGGAAATCAGCATGTTGGGGGAAATCAGCACATTCCCCAGCCCTGGAAGTTTAGCTGCCGGTGGCTAAAATTGACATGATTCCTGTCAGTTTTACCTATGAAATTTACCAGACTGGTCAGTTTTATGGCTGCTGCCAGATCCCGAGGAACATATTTGGTGTCACAAACTCCAGATGTTCATGTGTTGCCAAAAGGAACACTTTATGGAATTTGTGTCCTGGGTAGATTTCAAAACAGCTGTTTTTATTTTTTTGGAATGAAACCAAATATTGAAATTTCCCCACAATATGGAAAGTCTGAGGTGTGACCAGCTCTGCTTATGGCCAACCCTGGTATGCCTGTGACTTGCTCTCCAAAGTCTACCAGCCAAGAAATCTGTTGCAAAGCTGCTTAATTTGGTCTTTTGGGAGAGTCTTTACAACTTTGTCTCCCCTTAAATCCTGATCTGTAAAGCACTGCCATCTTCAGTCCTGAGAGAGGCTGTGTACACCAAATGTTTGGCTGCAGTGAAGGTGTACGGAAGGGAAATGGGAATGAACCGCATCCTTGGAATAGTGAAGTGAAAGGAGAATTTTGTGTTCCCAATTCTTGCTGAGGGGCTATACTTGGATACACTGGTGCTTGCTGCAAAAATTCTAAGAAGCAGAAATATTAAAATTTTCCTTTTGGTAACACTTTAAAACATAGCTTTGGCCTCTGCATTGAGAGGATTGTGGATTGGTAAATGATTACTTGTCTCCCTTTGTTTTTGAGTATTCTCTAATGTTTAAAATCACCTTTGATTCCTTATTTGTTGAAAATAGCTTGTTCCATATTGGTAAGCATAGTAAACCCAGGAGTGCAAATGCTGCCAGAGGAGATTAGACAGCATTCAAGCTGAACTCTGTTTGTATCAGTGTGAGATACACCTTGATAAAATAAAAATAACTTTCTCTGAATGTGAGAATGTATATGCTCCTGTAATTCCCAAGGAGATAATATACCACTTCCTCTCAACTCACTTTTTTCATAACTGTTATGAGCTTTAGGTACCTTTAAATACTTCAAATGGAAAATAACAGTCAAAAAACATTTTGGTTGTGATGCAGGAGTACACGATAATAATTCAGAATTAGTCTATTGTAATTGGGCACATGTAACAGAGGCTGACAATGTCAGGTGGAACTTCTATATACGTTACCTCTCAGTTTGTATAATATACCTTAGGATCTTCTAAATAAAATGTTCAAAACAAAATCAAGTAATGGCATTCAGATATTAAAGTGGGTGTGAGGGGGAAGATAGGCGTGCCATAGAAATCTGTATAATAAGGAGGCAATAGTTTAGCACTTCATAGCTCGGATGTGACTGTTTCTGTGGTAAGCAAGGATAACCGAGACCCTTAATGTCTCATTTATTGTTATGACAAAAGACTTGGGCCAAGACTTTCAAAAAACAGGAGTCTAAAAGTCAGTGAGTTGCTGTTTACTTGGTTCTACAGATAGTCGGCCCACTTGTTTAGGAACCTGATTTCAGCTTTTGAAAATCTCGGCCCAAACTTGTAAATTGTGCATATAGCTGGTATCTGTAACTATACTATTGCCTTTCTGCTTCCCCCTCCCGTATGTTTGTTTATTACATCCCCTTATTCAGGTTAATTTAGATTGTTAGCTATTTGGGGCAGGAGCTGTCTTAGCACTGTATATCACCTAGCACACTGAGCTCTGCTCTGATGGAGGCCTCAGGGCACCACTCTAAGATGAAACAATTAAGTTGCATAAAGTTATGGTCACCAGAGTTCAGGAATGGTGTGACAAAAAGCAAGATACAAAAAAGCACAACCCTGGAGCGTAAAACAACATAGTGAAAAAGACTGAATTGAATTTGCGTAGTCTAGGAAAGAAGACCCATTTGGGTAAGATCACTCTTAATTAGATACACTAAGTCTAAATAGAGGGCATTATTCCATCTCAAATCTGCAGAGCAAGGAACAGTGTCCTGAATCTAAAAAAGGTAGGAAAAGTCTAGGTAAATGAGGAAACTTCACTCGCAGAGTAGAGTGCTGTTCTTTTCCACTCACCATTCCCAATGTGTGATATTGCAACGTAAAGTAAGCCTCATTTGGGGAGGAGGGGGAACAGATGCGGGGTATTTCTGACACTTGTCTTCTGCTTTCTTGTCAGTTGTTTCTAGTTTTATGATGGAACTTTCGCCACTTAGAGCAGAGCTGCTTGGATTCCTCACTCATGCCCTCTTAGGAGACAGCTTGGCTGCTGAGTACCTTATATTGCATCTCATCTCCACAGTGTAAGTACGTAGATGCCTGCTGAGAACACTTAATGTATTTGTTTTAAAAAATATTATCTGCTTGTTTTTGCCAGTCTTTCGGAGTCTATGAATAACTTTTCAGCAGAGATGGTATAAGTATTTATATTCCAGTAGTGCCCAGGGAGGCTCCAACTGAGGGGACCATTGTATTAGGCACAAATGCAGAGATTATTGTTCACAGTCCAAATAGATTTTTTTAAAAGGCTAATTTCAAAGCTTAGTATCTTCCTAGCATTTGAGATGACAAAGTTCTTCCCACTTCTGTTCTCTCTCCACCTTTTTTTTGAATTCTGTCTTTAGATTAGACTAAAATCCTCAAGTGATATATATGAAACCAATGCAGATGTCATGTTTCCTATCTAATCTCTTCTCTGTGTGTGAGCAGGACATGCTATTAATGGAAATGTAGTAATAGTTTAGAGCAGTGGTTCTCAACCTATTTACCTTGTGGGCCGCATATGCAGCTCTGTGTGTTATGTGGGCGACATCCACATAAAATATATATATATATA